TGGGGGCCCGCCGCCCGCTGCCGGGGGAGGCGGGCGGGGGGCGACTGTCAGGATTCGGCCGAGAGGATCGTCGCGGAGAACGATCCGTCATCCGCACGGAGCCCGCCCCGCCCCCACCGCGCAGGGCCGAGAACGGGGCCCTCAGAGGCCGCTTCCCAAATGCACCCCAAAGCAGAAAAAAAATGCAAGTCACCAAATGTCAGGCGGGGGTGAGGGTCTCCGCGTGCATCGAGCCACAGGCCATCCCGTCTCTTCGTCTCGGCCGCGGGGGAGGTGGCTGGTGGCACCGGCGACCCGGCCCGGCCCTGCCCCGCGGCCCGCAGGGAGGTGGGTTTTATGAATGGGGAAAGCGGCACCTGCAACGGCGCCCGCGCCAGCGGCCGCAGAGGCGAGCGCGGCTGGGTGGGGACCGCAGCAGGCAGGGCGCCCGTGCAGCCCGCTCTGCCTACGGAAGTTTCCCGCTGGCACGAGACAGACACAACACGAGCAAATGGCTTGTTTGGGAGCGAGGTGACTGAGGCAGGCGCGCCGCCCCCGGCTCAGGCTCTCCAGCTCTCCAGACAAAGACTCAGATCGCGCCGCAGCGCCTGCCAGTCCCCGGCCACCGCTGCAGCCGGAGCCACGCCTGGGTGCCCCGGGGACGGGGGTGGCCCGCGGGGAGCCCGCTGGGGGACGGGCGGGGGGAGCTCCCCTGACGCCGGGCCACAAAGACCTCCCCCGTGGCCAGGCGCCCACCCCCAGCAGCCGGCTCAAGCTCTCCCAGTCTCAGACCCTGATCTGTCAAACGAGTATTGTGACAATACTCATGTGTGAGAGCTGAATGAGGTCATCGTAGCTCCAGATGACGTGTCCTACTTTCTGTTTTAAATCCCTGTGAATCTGCAGGGCAGCCCTGCCCGCTGTTGGCTGAAGAGCTCACTTCCAGTTTATCTCAAAGCCGAAGAGCTGGCCAGCCCCATGCCAGGTAGAGCCCTACACAGAGCGGAGAGACCTGCCTCTACTTACCCTCAGCTAGGGAGCCTAGAGCAGTTGTAGGCATCAGCACCGCCAGCTGGGAGATGGTGACATCCCATCCTCATCTGTCTCCTGTCAATACAGCCACAATGAGCTGGGTCCTGCCTGCGACACTTTGATAAGCAAGTTGCTATGGGATCTCCAGTGTCATGTCAGAGGTGCGGTGGCACAGATATAGGTAGGCCCCTGATTGAATGCACTTGAAGATGCGTTTCCTGTGACTGTGGCAGTGTCCTCACTCACCCTGGCCCAGCCTCCTGGTGACAAGGTGAGGTATAGCCTCTCATGGTTCTACTGTAACAGGCCTGACCCCAACCAGCAGTCACATGCCTGAGACCCATTCTGCTTTGTTATTTTCAGACCAGGGCAAACTGCTCCGGGTGGGGATGGCCTCCTGGGGTGGGGTATAGAAATCTTTCCCTCTACGGAGGACTCAAAATCCAAGCAACTCCTTCACTCAGGCTGAGCATGATTTGGTTTCCATGGAGAGGAAGCTCATCAATACATCAGAATTCTACACCTATGCATTTCTCACGTGCCCTCCATCCCCACCACCCCTATTCCACGACCGAAATCAGCTCAGGCTTGTGCTGTACTTTTGCCAAGGCATTGCACATTTGGGGGATTGGCACCCTACAACCGCTTTGTTCTAGCTGAGGTTATACAGCCAGCTTCATGCTTCACTGTGCATAACCTTAATTACCAACAATTGTCAACGTCATCTATTTTAAAAAATCCTCTTTCTGTCCCAACTGTCCCATGAACCACATGTGTATGGAGAAGTCATTGGATTTCTCTGAACCTTGTTTTTCCCGATTATAAAATTTAGGAATAGCAATCATTGAACTTTAAATTTCCTTCTGGTTCTAAAGTCTCTGTAGTAGTTGTTGCTGAGAATGACAAATCCCACTTTTAAAAAATGGCCCTCATGAGGAATTTTATTCCAAGATCAAATGACATATCCATTTTTTCATGTCACTAGTATCTTACTACCAGCTGGGCTGTGCAGCAGGGCAGGCAGGGAATGATATTTGGAAGGTAACACTTAGAGGCATGAAATGATCTCCTCATACATAATCTCATTTAATCCGCACAACAATCCTGGCAAGTAGACATCACCACATTTCCTCAATTTTAACATGTACATACTTTTACGTTCTAATGCTGCTGATGTCAAGAATACTACAGCTGACACATACTCGTGCCTCGCCTCTGCCCGCGTTACCTTGGATGTTTTGTCATTTTTTTTTTTTTTTAAAAGATGACTGAGGGCCGGCCCGGTGGCGCACTGGATAGTGCGCCGCTTGGGAAGCGCGGCGGCGCTCCCGCCCGAGGGTTCGGATCCCACATACGGACCGGTTCCCGCTCACTGGCTGAGCGAGGCGCGGGAGCAACACCAAGGGTTGCGATCCCGTTGCCGGTCCCCGGTCCGGTACGGGGGCAACACTGAGGGTTGCGATCCGTTGTCGGACACGGAAAAAAGACAAAAGACTGTCTGGCCTCCCTGAGCCAGAGGCCGACAAAACCGAGCGGGAAGAGACCCCGGTCCAGCCGGGGG